GAGGACCCCTGATCTATACGATAGCATTTTGAAATTCCTATTAAATTCCTTGCAATTCCTGAAGATTGACATAAGGGATATTTTGCTTTCCTCATAATGATCAAGGATGTACATTTTAAAAGACCAATGTATTGTGTGATTTTTTAAAATCAATTTGTCACATTTTGAAATGGAAAAAATAATCCTGTTGTTAATTTTTTGCTTGCTTGTTTCTAAAACCGACTAGTCCAACTCAAGATGGTTCTACTTACTTTAGCTATATAATTTTCAAACTGAGTTTTTGTTTCAAATCCATTGAAGAAATAGCAATATTTAATGTCCAATACAAAACCTGGTACTCCGGAACAAGTGTAAAAAGTAATGGCTACTCTCTCCAGTATGTTCCTAGAATTATCTAAGCATTAAAAATCCATAGCTTGGGAACAAGGTGTGTTGCACTGCATTGTGACTCCAACCACCATTACCCATATGCAGTGTGAGCGTCACAAAAATATGTGGCTTATCAGATGTTATTGGACTACCACTTCCAACATCCTTCACTGTTATACTTACTTTGGCCAATGAGAGTTGAAATGCCATGGAGATCTAACGTGGTAAGTGGTTGGAGCACTAGATTATGTCTCTGAAGACCAGAGTTCAAATCCCACTCAGTCATACAAACCTACTGGATAACTCTCGGCAGGTCATAGTCTCTCAGTCTCAGAGGAAAGCAAAGTCAACCCCTTTCTGAACAACTTTTGCCAAGAAAGCCTTGTGATAAGTTTGCCTTATTCAGAAATAATTTGATGACCTTAAGTCAGAAATGACTTGAAAACATCAAATAACAGCAGTATCTTAAAGGGCCACATGTTCTCCACTTTGACCTATCAAATGTTTATCTTCTCATGCAAATATCAACCAGTGTCATCAAATTTTGCAAAACATTTGTTCCCACTCCAGATACACATCTCCCCAATGATTGAATGATTTCTGTTCAGTAGCAGAGAGGAAGAAAAAAGACAGAAAGCCATATCTTTTCTCCCTATTTCCTTAGGGAAATCATTTTAGTATGGGATTGCTCTGTTAATCTCTTGAAGGAAATATCCTCAGAGCTTTGAAGCAAAAAAGGAAACTCCTATGAGGCTGATTATCTTCTTAGAAATTGGGAAATGGTTAATGTTTCTTCCTTTTTACCCCCCCCCCCCCAATGATACCTGCTGGGAGATTAGTATGTCTTTCTGTACACTATTTTTAGATCAATAGTATTTTGGAGTGCCAGTCAGTGTTCCATCCTTATTAAGCTTTTGTAGAATTCTTAATTTGAGCTTCATAAAAGCATTGAGAAATTGAAAGGATAAATCGGATCACTTGCTCTGATGGGAATGATACTTTGAGTGGCTGTGTTTAATGGGAAGGGAATCAGGAAACTATAAATTCAGAAAGCAGTCTTGCTAACAGTGTGCCTGCATGCCTGGGTTATTTTGCCTGCCAGTGCTCACTCTGAGCCTGACATTGAACAAACGTCACACACTCTGTAAACGTTGCATGACTGGAACACCCAGGATTGCTTACTGAGACTCTTTGCACACAATTTTATAGACTGTCCATCTTGTATTGATTTTAAAACCAAGATGGATTGTGCGATTTTGATAAAACTGATAAATGTAGAACTGGGAAAATAGTTTTGGACTAAAACTCCCAGAAGCCTTGCTAGGAGATTCTAGAAGATATGGTCTGAAACAGTAACCTTTCTGAGCTCTTGGGAAAAGTAAGCTCCATACACAAAGTGACATGAACACATGTGGATTCAAGCTGCATAGAGATCACATGGACACTGTTATTTTTTCTGTATGTAGTGTTGGCAGCTCTCACCTCCCAATCTTTTTATGTGTTAAACCAGCATGAAGGTTACTGGTGAGAATGTGGGTAATGAGGGTGGGACTTATGTAAGTAGTCCCATGGTCCTCTTTTGCACACTAGCCAGCCCATCAAACAGTTCTTTGCTCCAGGTGAGATGAATAGAGATGCATGCAGATTGAATTATCTCCATGTGCTTTCTGTCTCAGCTAAGTTATCAATGATAAGTCTACCAGAAATTTGTTTTATTGGTGTGTTGGAATATAATTAATGGGGGTGGGCTAGAGGGTGGCATCATGGGCATCTTGAACAAGGTTGTTGGGTTAAGTATGGGACAGTCCTACTTTACTTTTAAGTGGGTCCTAGACCAAATCAAGCCCAAACTCTCCTCGGAAGCCATGATTCCAAATTAGATTCTTGAACTTTGGCCATATAGAGAGAAGACATGATTTACTAGAAAAGACAATGGTGCTTAAAAAGGTGAAAGGCAGTAGGAAAAGAGGAAGGGCAAATTTTGGATGAATAGATTCAATCAAGGAAGCCATCGATCTGAGCCTGCAAGACCTGATTAGAGTGGTTGATAATAGAGGGATCTCTCATTCATAGGGTCACTGTAAGTTGACATGATGGCAGTTAACAGCAACAACAATAAATTAGAGATCTCTGGGTCACCTTATCTTTAACAGCTCTGTTTAGGTCTAGGATATTAAACGTACAGGAATCCTGCCCCATATTCAGCCTGGCACCCTAACCTGGCACTGAAGGCCTTCATGGGTTACCTGTGCCTAAAAGTCATAGGTAGTCCACATGTGTGAGCCAGCCCAATCAGTGTGGCTAAGCATTATCTATGTTGACTAACAGCAGTTATTTGCAATCTGCTGCTGGCCCTTTCCTGACCCCTCCTATCTTTTAATTGGGGATAAATATATATGCTACATTGCCTCATCTTAATCCCTTCTAGAGTGTTCTAGTTATGTTCCAGTTCTGCCACCCAAAACTTTTCCACTGAAGATCCCCTTGACCACATGCAAACCCAGAATGAGCCTTCACATCTGGGCCACTGAAGTTTATGGGCCAAACAAGGTGACAAAATCAGTGGCCTGCAGTGCCTACAGCAGAGGTGGACCACATGTGGCCTCTGTAATTCTTGTAGCTCATAGCCCATTTTGCAAGCCCACCAAGTTTCCCCTTTCCCCATACCTGCACTGTAGTTGCCAACAAAAGAACACTATTATTCCTTTAAGAATGTGTATGAAATATACTAGAGGTGTTTATTAATGAGACAAGGATATACACACATTTGTTTTTCAAAATGGGGAAAATTCATTTGTAATAGTAAATAGCACTTTCCCTAGTGCTTTTTATTTTTGCAGTGGAATTAAGAACTTTGGAGTACTTTTTGAACCATACATGCCATTGGTACATGTGCTGACATAAGCGCAAGGAAGGCAATGCCGCTCCCAATCCTATCATATCCTACAATATGCACACAGAGATCTGATGGAAGTATGCACACAGAGATCTGATGCACACAGAGATCTGATGGAAAAGACGGAGAGAAAACCCTGTTTTCTCTCCGTCTTTTGGTTTCAAGTGCCATGCTATGGTGAATTGGATAGTGTTAGGCTTCATCTGCTGCCTAATTCAATGTAACACAGCAGATGAGATAAATCAAATGAGTGATGTATTGGATTTGAAAGATGATGGCTCTTCTAAAGCAATCTCTGTGAAACTATTTCAACGTTGTACTCTTCACACAGATTCATAGTTTTTGTGCAGAAACAGGATTTTGTAAACAAAGCCCTAAAAGTACTATGGTAAGGAAAGCAATTGAGGCAAGTGTGTGCTAGATAAAGCAATTTCAAAAAAGAAAGTCTCTCAAATGGTTTTATATTCTGTTTTAAATCATATCTGCACATGTTTTGTTTGTTCTTAATGTCTGCTGTGAAAGGGACATGAAGAGCAGAGCAAGATTGATTTGTCAGCTTAGTGTGAGCAAACATCTTCATGAAGATCTTGCAATGAAAGGCTAAGCAGGGGGTTCCTGGCAAAATGTGCATTCTTCAAGTGACAGAAAACTGGAATCTTGAAAAGATGTTTGTGCTCATGCTATATTTTGTAAAAAGAAGAAAACCATAGGGCCTATGCATTTAGAAGTTCTGTGCTTTTCAGGAAAGGCCATTAAAATGTAGCCTACTTCAAAACAGTGCTAGAAATAGGTACATTTTTGTCAAATAAAATGTATTTGTTTTTAAGGTAATAAGAAGCTCCTTGTTTTTGCTTTATATCTATATAGATAGATACATAGATGATTATGTGCTGCAGCAGACTTTATTTATTTATTCAATGTATTTATATACCACTTTTCTCACCTCTGGGGGGACTCAAGGTGATTTACAACAGCCTCACACAATTTAACTTAACACAACTACCCTTTATGAAAGGGGTTGAGATGAAGCTAACAAGGCCATTTCCCAATTCCCTTCACTGAAAGAAACAGAGAAGAAAGAAATCCCTCAGTAAAGGAATGCTCTTACATCGACCAGTGAGAAGCAATGGAGATAATTTCTTCAGACTCAACATATGTGGAGTTGTTGTTGCTGACAGTAGTAGTTCCACAGTGAGAAGTAAGCACAAGTTGTCTCTTTAAATAGTAACAGCTTGTAACCTTAAATAGGAGATCTTAGGATTTTGTCTTGCTTGGCGTGGGTTTGCCTGGACACCATATTTTGCTGTTTCTTCTTTTATATTTCTTTGTTGTTGTTTTTAAGAATTATAGCATCTAAGAATGATAGCAATATATTTAATTGATGGTGAGATTATTATAGACACCTGAAAATCTTTACTGTAAGTATACCTCATGTTTAATTTGGAGGTGCTCTCTCCAATCAAACCTAGGCACCATATCAAGCGGTTGAATTGATTAGTTATTGTGGCCATTGATTCCGAAATCGTGAAACTTGTGCTCCAAAAATGTAATTTTCTGCTCTCCAGTGTTTAAATGCATTCCTAATGGGAAGGAATGATAAAATAGGGCATATGTTGTACTACGTTGTATTTACATAGAGGTTTCTTGCAATACATGAACCTTCCATTCATAATAATGAAGTGTCATGAATATCAAACATACATCCTTTTTTATTTCTTCTGTTCTCTTTTTTCAGCCAACTGTGTGTGAACGGGAGCTATGTGTGTTTGCTTTCCAAACTCTTGGTGTGATGAATGAAGCTGCAGATGAAATAGCAACAGGGGCTCAGGTAAAGTGAAACAATTCAAGCAACCTGAATGACTTCGGCATGGTTGTAACATTCCCACAGAGTCCAGCAAAATAGCTGCTGAAGCTATTTTGAGGTTAGGATTCAACACCTTGGTTAGTTTTTTAAAATGACTGGACTAAAATCCAAAAGAGATTCACAAATATGGAAGGCACAAGCTACTACAAGCTAGGACTAGCCTATAGGACTTCATATATTATTCATATAATGCAATGGCCTCTTTGACAATAGGGTAATATAATGTTTTTTTGAAGGAGCTGAAATAGAATGGTGTATGAAGCAACCACATAAACATTAAAATGTGAAAAGAACATTAGAATATGGAGTCAACAGCCTTCCCAGGGGCAATTCATTCCCAGTCCTATGACGAGAGCCCTGGTCTTCCTAGTGGTCTCTCATCTAAGTACTCACCAGGCTTAGCTTTCCAAATCAGGTGTTTGGGGACTCCTGGAGATTCCTTTTTAGGTTCTGGGCAAAAAACAGAAGTGCCTATATGGACAGGATGGGGAAACTGTGCACCATTCTGCGCATGTGCCCCTGGGGACCTCTATTTTGATTTCCCCTATAGAGATCTCCACAGCCTCCAGCTTCCCCACAAACACAGGGTTTTTTTAAAAAATAAAATCTGCCAAGAATGACCAGAAAACATCCCAAACCATGCATTTGGGTTTCTCTTGCCCCACATCCAATGAAGTTGAAAATATGGCATATTTTGACTTATTTCTGAAATTAAAAGTGATACCTTAGCCCATTCCACAATTATCCGTCATTTTAAAGAAGTAGGATTCTCATCTAAAAGGAGATGCCCCTCACCCCATACATTATTTTAGTAATAAATCTTTAAAAACAACAGTTTTTTTCCTTTTTTAAAAAAATGTGTGGGTTTTATTTGGAAAAGCCAATGAGGTCTTCTTCTCCTTTGGTAAGAAAATGGCTCATTCCTATGTTTAGTCTCCATTAGAATTTAAAAAACAGTGTGTGCTGGAGCTGGCCCATGATTTATTGAGTAAGCTGGCATTTGAATCCACCTTTCTTGGCAATAGATTCTGCCCACTTATTTACTCTCCAGTATTGGTTCCTATCACTGGCAACAAGATTACCTATTTTTGTCAAATGAGCCAAAAGGAAAAACATCATAGATTGGCCTTTCTCCTCCTAAAGTTTCTGTTCCCTTTGCCTCCATTTCACTTCTTGAAAGGACCATCTTTTTTATTTATTTCCCTCCTGAAATCTGAATGCAAAGGTTTTTAGAACTATTCTTGGTATGACTCAGAGTCTATCTGGGATTGTGGGTGGAACTGCAATGGTGTGTTAATAAAAAAAAAACCCTCCCTATTAATGTTTTCCCAGAGTGAAGCATTTTAACTGCTATCAAAAGATGGGATGGCTGAGAACAAAATAATTCATTGTATGGCCTACCATTAAATAAAAATATGATTGCAACTCAGAATATTACATGGACAATATGATTGCAACTCAGAATATTACATGGACAATATCGAAAGTCTTTTGAAGCTACAATTGGGTTTAAAAGTTTTAACAACATGTACTTAAATGTTATCTTTTAAGTGTTATCCTTATCAATTTATATGTCTATTGCCTGTTTTTAAGTTCTTTCCAACTTTGGGAGACCCTAAGATGAACATAGCACAGGCATTTCTTGGCAATGTTTGCTCAGAGCAGTTTGATTGAACATTGGACTATGACTGTGAATACCAGGGATCTAATCCTCATCGGCCATGGGAACCTACTGGGTGACCTTGGGCAAAGCACACTTAGGCTCAGAGGAGGGCAAAGAACATGGCCCTCTGAACAAATCCTGCTAAGAAACCCCTGCGTTAAGTTCATAAGTCAGAAATGGCTTAAAGGCACACAACCACAATTCACCCTACAGCTGTTAAAAAAGCACTTCAATGCTATTTTTAATGTATGCATTTTGTTTTTGATGCCTAGGTTGTAGATTTATTGGTATCTATGTGTCGATCTGCATTAGAGTCACCCAGGAAAGTTGTCATTTTTGAGCCATATCCTTCTGTAGTTGATCCTAATGACTCTCAGATGCTGGCCTTTAACCCCAGGGTATGTGTATTCTCTATTTCTGTGAGATTTGTGGGTGTGTCTGTCAAGAAAGGAGGAATTTTTTGACGCACACTTTGAATACAAATCCTGTCATAAAAAGTATATTGCATGTATGAAACATAGAATGAAAATTTGCTTTCATGCTATTAAATAAAGAATAACAAAGTATAATTGCATTCTATTTGGCATTCTGTTATTCAGGAAACTAACAAAGCATTCTATTGCATAAACTGGAAAAATTCTAAACCACATTTATATAAGAATTTGGCCCAAATGGAGCTCACTTTAATACATGTTTGTGAAATTTTAAAGCTTTCACACATCTGTTTTGATATTTGGATGGGGAACAAGTGTGTTCGTTTGTATCTATAGAAATTATACTAATATGATTTGGAAGAGCAGCTATGAACTAGATATAAGACCCTGAAAAATAAAGATATATCATAATAAACACTAAAGTTTTGATCATCCATGCCATTGTATTTCCAATTTCTATGCATTGTTGTGAAAGCTAGCCAGTGAAGAATACTGATAGGTAGAAAATCAACTCATTTGAAATATGGTGCTGGAGGAGATACCATGAACTGCTAAAAAGACAAATAAATGGAGTCTCAGAAGTCCCAGAACAAATCAAGCCCAAACTTATCTGATGTTTTAATGTTTTAATTATTATAATTATTGGTGATTTGTATTTTTATTTTGTGGCATTGAATTGTTACCAATTGGAAGCCACCCTGAGTCCCCCCCCCTTCCAGGGGGTTGAGAAGGGAGGGGTACAAGTGTTCAAAATAAATAAATAAATAAATAAAAACAAAAAAAATGACTACATTCAGACATAATCTGGTCAGTCATAAACAGGAACATTTAAAACCAATCATGCAGTCCACCAGATATTGTTCAACTCCGTGTCCCAGTAGTCCTGTTATGGTCAATGGGGATGAATTCTGGGAGCTAAAGGGTCACATGATCCTTACCCCTACTGTAAATGGTGGCTTATTTAATTTGTGCATAATCCACATTGTTAGTCTTCTTATCCATATGAGTAAAGTAGTTCTGGTAGGCAAAAACAAGAGTTACCAATATGTAAAGTAGCTCTTATGGATGATTATGATGATGACTGTAATGCATACAGTCATTTTCATATTGTACAAAATGTCTATATATAGTGAGTACACTTGTTAAACAAGCAACAACAGTTAAAGACTTTGAGAGAAAATTCTATTTGGGTTTTTCTTTCTGCAGAAGAAGAATTATGACAGAGTAATGAAAGCACTGGATAGTATTACTTCTATAAGAGAAATGACGCAGGTAAGCATAAAACTCATTTAGTTCCTTTAGTTCAGAAGGAGCATCTGTTTATGAGTTTGCAGTATTGTTTGTGCAATTCCATCTTTACTACAGCCATGCAAGAAAAGACTATAAAGATAATGATCTCTGAGAGTCCAGCAAGCTACAACACAAAATCAATGAACCAAAATTCAAGCACATAATGCTTGAATTCTCCCAGAGAAATAATTAAGAGTTTTTCAAGGGCTCTTAAATTCAGTGTAGGCTGCTCATCTCCCAGTATTGGTGGAATTTAACATTGATCAGTTATGCCTTGTTACAATCTAGTATTTGTGCATGAATCATAGAATCATAAAATAATGAGTTTGTTCGGGGGGGGGGGGTTGATGCAGTGTCATGTCCAGCCAACCTGTAACTGGAGGAGAAACAAGTATGTGCCATCTCTTTTTTTATTGTCTTAAGACATTTCTTAAACTAAATTACCCCCATTGGATTCTGATTCTACCTATCAACTAGTATGGAGATGACTCTGCAAACCAAACCTTACTACAACTCCCAGAAATCCCAGGCCAGTTTGCTAGCTGTTGGATATCTGGGAGCTGTAGGCCAAAACATCTAGGAACCCACAGGCTGAGAACCACTGCTTATATGCATAATAGAACTGAAAAGGAATGGGGAACAAAACTTCCTCTTGAAAATGTCATCACACCCTGTTCTCTGAATAGTCCGTCAGCCTACCCTAAGCCACAGTCCACCTGAATTGGAAGGATCTCTTCCTGCAGCATTTGAGAGGACTGGGATATAATGAAAATGAGGGATTCTGGATAGAATCATTCAAACCTAAGATCGTCCCTATAAGTAGGCAAAGTAAGGTTACCATTTTGGGCAGTAGATTCTGATGAACTTTCTGGCTCTTCCTCATTGTTGGAGGACAGAGGCCACACAACCTAACCTGCTCCTTCTAAACTAGACAACTGCTTCAGGTATTTAGGGTGGTATAGGAAGATATCATTGTGAATTGCTCCAGCCTGAGGACTCAAAGTACCAAAGGCCCCTGGTCAAAGCAAGGAGGTTCCCTTGTTAGAAGTATACAAGAATTTAACACGGAGTGGTGATCAATATTAACATTTCTCTGTGTGTGGTTTTGGTGGAATAGCTGTTTTAATGATAAAGTTTTAGCAAGCTTCTGTTAGCACATTTTTAAAAATGAAATGCATGCACAAAAATAGAGCTGTAACTAGCACTGATACTGAATCACTCCTGCTCAGGTTTAAATCAAGTGTGAAATGAGAGAAATAGAACCACCAAGTACAAAAATGGGTCATATTAACATGCTTAAAAAATCCCACTCTTGCACAAATAGATATTTAAACATAAATTTAAACAAAAAGAAGAACAAAAGTCTCACCGCATCCTAAAAAATCCACTCATTGAAAACTAACTTCTGTTTGGATCTGGAATGTCTCATGGCTAATTCTAGTACTGTTATTATTTCCTAGGCACCTTATTTAGAAATCAAGAAGCAGATGGACAAACAAGACCCACTTGCTCATCCTCTTCTGCAATGGTAAGGAATTTGCTTGGATTACTGGCCAGATGATTTTGCAATGTTCTGAATTGCTATGCAGTGGCTTCCAAGCATTTCAGGCAGAAATCTTTTCTAGATCTACTTAAAGATCCTTGAGTATACATGATAGTCGTCCTTCCATGTATTTACCAGGCCCAACCCAGCACAGTTTATGAAATCAGACATTGTTGGATATGTTCAAGGTGACATGACAGTTATGGGCACACACAGCCTTCTCATTGCTAAAACTTGAATTTCATTACATGTCATAGTAGATGGAGATAGTGATGTTCATGAAAAAATAGTAAAAATGGGAAACCTTTCCTGAGCGCTAGATAAATAATTGAGGTGCAAAATATTCAGTCATAACCATATACTGTAATTCTGTACACATTGTATTGAATCTATCCCGTTTTATGAATTTGTAGAAGGACTAGCTACCTTTGATTAAGAGAGCTCATCCTGGATCAAAATGATAATTTATATGGGTTTACGCTGTAATAGGTTCACCTTCGCGGCACCATAGGTAGGAAATAACTTGAAAACACAAAACAACCAGAGAAATAGAATGTTGTCCATCTGCACTCATATAAGGCTCAAAACAATTACACTCTGGTAGTCTGTCTTTTTTCACATGTTGTATGTATTATTTTCTCCAGGGTTATTTCAAGTAATAGATCGCATATTGTGAAGCTACCTGTGAATCGGGTAAGTTTGGTTTTGTTCCATAAAATCTTCTATAACAAACATGCAGCCATTAAGTTTAGTTTTCCAATAAGCAGATGCTTAATTGTCACACAAAGTGTGTGTTTCTCCATTTACCATAACAATTATTGAAAAAAATTACAAGAAAGCCTATATGTCATAAGATCTTCAGATGACCGGGTTATGTTATGCTGAGTATATAACTCAGTATTGGGTTGATTGAAAAATCCAGAGGGTGATCTGTTTGAGTTTTCACCCATTTAATTTATCTTGAAAAATATCTGCACAGTTGTGCAGTCCAATATTGCCCAGTTTAGTTGGATGTAAATCCTAGCAGGATTTACTTCTAAGAAAGTGTGCAAACTAAAATTGGACTGAAAACTAATATGAAAGTATAGAAGAAAACATTTATATTTTAAAAGAATCTAAAAAGTCAAAATTGGGTTGAGAATGGATATAGATGTAAAAGAATTGTTACAAAAAAAACACAAATATCCTTTCTAAAGTAAATAAAAATGATTGTTTATTTATCCCTGAGGAATTTTTGAGGGTACACTTTGTCTAGAGCTGTCTAAGGATAGCACAAGGGAATGATCTGGTATAGGAACAGCAAAAAGGTTTGGATCAAACCATATGTTTATCTAGGCTAGTATTATATTCTCCATAATGGCCACCCAATACTCTTGAGAAGACTCCTAAAAGTCTCCTAAGGAAGACATGAGGGCAGCAGCTATACCCCTCTAGTATCCCAGCAGCATATGCCAGAGCAGACCTGGAGCAGCATGGTGACCTTGACATTTATATTATATAAGGAGATAATTTTGTTTCTCTTGACTCTCTGAGCAGTGATTGGGGAAGCCTTCATACCGTAGAGCAGGGGTCGGGAACCTTTGGCTCGCCAGGTGTGGTGGACTTCAACTCCCACAATGCCTTGAGGCTCGGCATTCGCCCCAAAGCTTGGCCTCGGACGGAGAGAGCGGGCGGAAACCCCTGCGGGCAACGTGCCTCCTCGCCGCTTCGGCCCTTAGCAGCCGCCCCGCATGGACCTCCTCCCTAGCAACGACGCCGGACGAGGAGCCGCGTTGCCCGCAGGGGTTTCCGCCCGCTCTCTCCCTCTGCGGCCAGTCTGTGGGCTCCGCATCCTTCCTCGCCGAGCCTCAAGGCATTGTGGGAGTTGAAGTCCACCACACCTGGCGAGCCATAGGTTCCCAACCCCTGCCGTAGAGTAATGCTAGCTGTATCTACCATAAAAGCAGATAACACTATTCCCAGAGCAGAAGATGTTGTTCACAGATCTTCCATTTTATGTCTTTTCTTGGTCTTTTAGATTGTTCTTCTTTTAGTTCTAAAGTACCAAAGAGTTTGCAACAGATTTATGAAATTTTCCTTCCATCTTTATTGTGACTTTAACAATGTGCTCCTGTTTCTTTACAGCAATTGAAGTTTATGCACACACCGCATCAATTTCTTCTGCTCAGCAGTCCACCAGCCAAAGAATCCAATTTCAGAGCTGCTAAAAATCTCTATGGAAGTACCTTTGCATTTCAGTGAGTATTGACATACAGTGCTAAAATTGTGAACAAATCTAAGTCACTATAGCTAAGAAATTTTTTAAAAACCAACAAAATTAAACAAATATTCTAAAACAGATATAACTCATTTTCAAGGCATAGTATTTGTAAGAGTTTTTGCTATGTTTCCTTTATAACAGCACTAACTTTCCTCTCTTTCTTTTGTTTGAAGTGGGTCACACATTGAAAATTGGCATTCAATCCTGAGGAATGGGCTAGTGGTTGCTTCCAACACAAGACTGCAGGTAAAAGAAGCTAATGTTAGAAAGCAACATGAATGGGTTTCTGCTCAAAGACAGTTTGAGACATAAGTGTTTTAGGCTGGATGTAGACATTCTCATCCAGAGTAAAAACAAAATGGGATTTATAGGCTGAGCAACTGTGGGAGGCTAGGAAACTACATTAATGTCCTGGAAGAGGTGGGAGGTATGTATTCATGCACAAAAATCACCCTCTCCCCTGATACCTCCAAGCCCTCTCTATGAGGAGTCTCCAAGCCCGCTCTTGGGGAATCTCTTTGGCCATTTTAGTCACACAAGAAGCCAAGGAGCCCCCAAAATGGGAAAAAACATCTCCCATGCCCTCTAGAGAGAATTTGGGAAATATTTGAAAAACTATTTGACCCCTTTGCTGCATTTGGTCTACCTCTGGTTTAGTAGAATTTTTAAAAAGTATTTATATCCCACTTTTTATATCCTGTGTTTATCATACTCTACTGCAGGAGTGACTATAGTGTGGTTTACAGGCTACATGTGGCACACAGTTTTGTGGCCCTTATTAGTCTTCCTAATCTCACCAATCTCACATTAAAAATAGTATGATTTTGAACAAACATCCAGAAATTGGTCTAAATGTTAAACAAAGGGAAATAAAATACCCTGGCTCCACAATTCAAAGTCACCATAGAAACCTCCATTATGCCCAAATAATGGTGCTTTCTTTTATAGTCCCTCTCAAAATGGTTACAGAAAGTGACACGACACTTGCCATCATTTTGAGAAGGATTGGAAACAGGTGTTTGGACTTGCTGTGAGAGGTACAGTATATGAATGGTTTGAATGAAATCACATCCATGCAGCTTCCTATCCCTTTAGCAGGAATGAATTCCAATCATGTGAATCGGGCATCCTCAAACTGTGACCCTCCAGCAGTTTGACTCTCCAACTCCCAGAAGCCCTATTCAGCTTGTACAAAGGTCATGTTTTCTGGGAACTGAAGGTCCAACTAACTGGAGGGCCAGTTTGAGAATGTCTGATGGAAATACTATTTCCCTATGGGGAAAAATGCTGTAATTGGGATTTTTTTCTTTGTAAAATGTATATGTGGTTGATTTGCCTAGAAAACTGCAGGGAACTACATAGAAATGTTTTCTGTGCAGAAAATGCTGTGGTGTTTTTTTTTCCTACAAAACAACCACATGCAAATTTTGCACAGAATAATTCCTGAATTGAGAATAGTTTGAAAACAGAGTGCTTTTCAAATATTTTATTGTAGTGGGAGTAAAAATGCAAAAAAAAAAGTGGCTTCCATTGAGAATAGGTTCAGTGAAGAATTACATCCCAAGATTCCATATGATACATCATGGTGCTAAAGTTGTGTAGTGTGAAAAGGCCCCCTGTCTAGCATATATAGGAAGGTCTCCATGACTTGGTGAAAGCTGTACAAAATCAAATTTGGAATAAGATTGCATAATATAGCAAATTAAGACTGACATTTTCCTTTGTATCTTTCAGCTCCATGGTGCAATGTTTGGAAGTGGGATCTATCTTAGTCCATTGTCAAGCATATCTTTCGGTTACTCAGGTGATATTTATAAATCACTTTACATTTGGGTGTGAGAGGATATATGAAAAAGTATTTTTTAAAAATACTGTTGTATAATGGGTAACAACTTTCTTCATATTTCATCCTGAAGAGCAAAATATGCCTGATAGCGGCTACTTCTCAAAAAGGTTAACATGGAATGGGAAAGTTTATAGAGAACATATTTATTTATTGCTTTTTTCCCAGACTAGGATTTATCAAGGTGTTATATACAACTATTTCTGGATAAATAAAGAAGATTGCACCCATCATGCACACATGCACAAACTTCAAGAAGAATGATGGGAAAAGATAGATTAACAATTGCTTCACATCTGCTAACATCTTCAGCTAGCAGAACATGTAGGTAAAAGTCTAGCAAAACCCTTCAGTGCAACCATTAATAAAAAACACCTGCTCTGAAAGGGAACACCGTAGAGGCTCCAAACCCCCAAACACTGTTTCTTGATGCTTGTTTACCTTAAAGGCATACCAAGGATATGTGAACTAAACATAAGGCAAGTCACGCTTGATCAAACCAAAAGCCTATTTAGTCCAGCACTCTCATCACATAGCGGCTAAATATTTGCTAATGGGAAGTCTGCAAACATGACATGAGCCAAACAGTTTCTTGATCTACTTGTTCTCCCTAGCAACTGATATACACAGACATCTGGTCTTGTAGGGAAAATGTATCTATCATGACTAGTGGTCGTTGATAGTCCTGTCTTCCACACTGTTTCCATCCTCTTTTAAGGAAAAGTGGAAATTTCAACCAGTTGACCTGCCAGCTGGACAATGCTTCATTCATCTTTGATCTCTCCTTCTTCCATTGGAATCAAGCAGCTTTACTTCCATTCATATTCTAAAGGCCATAGGAGTAGCATTCTCTGCCATCAGGCAATTCTAAGGCCTCCTTCAAATATTTCTAACACCGATATCTTCCATGATTCCAAAGAAGAAGGAGCTGGTGTGAAGGGCCAAAGCATCACGCACTTGTTGTAATCCCTGCTTCTCACCTAGAACAGGCTGAAAAACTACACTGGACACAATGGCTGATAATCATTGTTCCACAGAAAGTTCCAGTTGATATTCAGTTAAGACAAAGCCCTCAAGAGTTTCAAGGCCCTTCCTTACAAGCCCAAAATGCAGGACCTGTCTCAGGTGCCTCAGGTTAAACTCAATTAATCCAGAGAAAACTGGAATTTCCAAGTTTGCTCCTGATTAATAAAATGCCTGGGAAGATCCAGACCTTAACTGAAAGTCCGGATCTTTTCAGGTGAGGACCCTGTGGAGATTCACTCCTGAGATTGCTTTCTTTGGACCTGTTTCTTTGGGCTCTAGAACCAGAAGAAGCGGGTTAACGCCCCCAACCTGGAGATGCCCCCAATCACCTGGCACCCTCAGATGATTAATAAAACACCAGAGGTGATCCAGACCTTAAGCTAAGGTCTGAATCTATCCAGATGAGAGTCCTGTAAGGGATTGAGTCCCAAGATTGCATTCGCAATCCCAGGGGTCCCCACAGTGATCCCGGTTCTTTGGGCTCTAAGAGCCCAATAGAGTGGGATGGCATACCCAACCTCCCCTCCCAGCCCCTCCAGCCCCCAAACTTACATAAGGGATTTCCTGGCAGTACAGGCACCTTCAAAAAGAGCTGGCATGTGAAAATGATGTATCAGGAGTGGGGGTGGGGGAGGAAGAATCCTTCATCTCTCCCCCCCCCCCCCAACCTCCTGACGTGTCTTTTTATGGGTCAGGAGCTTTCTCAGAGGGGTCTGCACTGTCGGCAGCCCCCTCAGGTAAGTCTTTTGGGGGAGTAAATGGGAGACTGGTGGGGACTGGATGCATGTAGCCACTCCCACCCCCAGGAAAAGTACAGGGTAGGGGTTGGGGGTGGGGACTAAATTCTGGAAGGAACTGTGGTTTAATATCCCAGTTCCTCCCAGGATTTAGTCATGTGTAGAAAGGCCCTCACTTTCTTCCTAAACTGAGATTAACACATGCTGTAGGAAGCAGTGATACATTTCAAAATACTGTAAGAGTATGTCATTTTTGCTTGGCAGCTTAAAAATGTGCTAACTTGCCAGAGAGTTCCAGCTGCTGGAAAGAAGAATCAGCAGTGACATCCATATCCACTTGCACTCACCATGTATATGAAGTGGAACATCTGACATTTTATGCACCAACATGTCTGATGTAAATCTAATGTCTTTAGGGATGAACAAGAAACAGCAGAAGGTGTCAGCTAAGGATGAGCCTGCTTCGGGCAGTAAAAACGGCAATGTGTTACAGGTAAAGAAATATATGGAGTAATTCTGAAAAACTTTTTCTTTTTATAGCTTTGCTATCTGGAGCTTGATGTGCACTTTATTTATCCCCAGAGCATCTTTGAACACATGATATAATAGTTGGGCATAAGCACAGGTTCTGAAGGATAACATATTGCAACTAATACCATATCCAGTAGCCCAAATCCTACTGTTAATTTGATCTAGTGCAAGCACATTGAACAAAAAAAATTACATAGGTGTTGATTTACCAAGATCTCATTCATTCGGAAAGCCCATTATAATTGGGACTAATAATTGGATTTAAGGTAATGTACCTAATTTTCATAACCAGCTGAAATTCACTCTTTGTAATTTGGTAAAAAAGATGCACCTTACAGTGGCTGCCTCTTTATAATTCCTTCTTTAAAAGCAAAAGTTCTAGAACACCAAAGCTTTCAGCAGTGAAAAAGAAAACCTGTGCTGTAGAATGAAGCTACTTTGACTGCCCTGACTCAATTCTATAAAGTCATGGGAGCTCTAGTTTGGGATCATGGGAGCTGCCAAAGAATTCTGATGCCTCACCAAGCTACAAATCCCAGCATTGCATTGCTTTGAGCATGACAATTACATTGAGATGATGTCCCTCAAATAGGAGCTCCAGGTGCTCCTGAAGTACCTTTAGTTTTGGCTCAGTGCTAAGATTACCATATTACATCAATCTAATGTGCACCCTAATTTTGGAAAGGTAATTTAGCCCAAAAAAGTGAGCATTAGATTTGAGTAAATATGATAAGTTAATTTCCCCCCCCCCCCAAAAAAAGGTGAGCATTAGATTCGAGTAAATATTATATCTCGCTTTGGATAGCATAGTGAAGGGTTAATACCCATATGGGGTTTCTTTTGCTGCCTGTGCCCATGTTAGGAAGATTTCACCTCATTTTCTGTCTCCATGAGAATTGGAATTTAATAAATGTGGCTTTTTGCGGAAACAAGGGTTGGTGATAAAGCTTCAGTGAAGACTCCTTTTTGCCATGATAAATTTTTCAGGAGTGAATATCTCCTCTGAGGGGTGGATTCCTTTCACTTTCTGTTGTCTCACCTCCGTTCTTAACTACGAGTAATTTGTAAGTCGGATGTTTGTAACTCGGAGACAGCCTGTATATAATTTTCTTCCATTTTTGTTCTTTCAGTCACAGAAAAAAGGTCAGCAGTCTCAATTTTTGCAAAGCCGAAATTTAAAATGCATAGCCTTATGTGAAGGTAAGCCAAAGTTAAAAAAATAAAAATTGGGTTTCTTTCTGAAATTCAAATAAAAGAAACTTAACCAGAGCTGGGCAACTATGAATGTTGACCCTCTCCATCCCCTCTTTATACCTTTTTAACTAGGGATGGAAAGAATATGTGGAAATATATTGTAAAATAATTGAAAAGCCATGCTTTTGAGTGATGAGAAATTCAGATAAGAGGAATCCTGGACTGATGAGATTCTTTATAGTTCAGGACTTATTCTGCATGAAATTTGTATGTGGATGTTTGGCACAGAAAACAGCTATTTCATTGAAGAAAACAGCATTTTCTGTATGGAAAACATTTCAACACAGAAGTATAGATTCATGAGCACAAAATGCTATGATTGGAAATTTATTGTATGTAAAGTTTGTATATGACTGGCTTGCATATAAAATAAGATTTTCTGCACAGGCAATGCAGGAGTTAATATGTCTGCATTAAAATATTAAGAGTCTCTTAAAGCTCAACTTGAAGAATCTTGACAGCAAATGATCAAGGTTTGATCAAAGTGGCATATACTGAATCTTAACTTTTTGCTAGTATTTCTGAGTTGGGTAATAAGAATATATTTTCCATTTCTAAAATACTTTCTCGATGTGACCACTAAACATATGTGGTTGAGAATTTTCTTTCTTCTTTATAGTGATAACTTCACCTGATCTGCACAAACATGGGGAAATATGGGTAGTTCCCAATACTGATCATGTGTGTACAAGATTCTTCTTTGTGTAAGTATAGAGAACATTTCATCTATATGCTTTTCTCATACATAATGCTCTGGTTACAAGTACATACAATTAAATAGCTTGCTAAAATGATGAATGATGTCGTTTCTTTTTCAGTTGTCTTGTTAACTGAAAGTTGTAGTTTCTTCTGTCTATGCATTCTGTTCATGTTGGGGATTTTCTTTTCTCCACTGTACTTCTGGATTCATTTAAAACTGGGATAGGCAACCTGTAAGCCTCCAGATGTTACAGCAGTGCTAGCTAGCATTAGCCAGCATAGCCAATGATGATGGGTTGAGGGGAGTTGCAATCCAACAATAGATGGAGAACCAAAAACTGCCCACTCTTAATATAAACTCTCAAAAGTTGTTCTCTGGGAACTACTCACTCCACAAATACCAATTTGCTACTTGGTGACTTCCTATTTCAAGGGTGAAATGTGGCCTGTGAGCCACATCTGTGAGCCTGAAGCTCTCCAAATCTCCAAAAAAGTAAAATAAATAAATCCACATTTTAAATATGAGCTGAAGGAAAATTGAAATAATGCCATTTCACTTCTGGTTTCAGTTATGTGTGGTGGTATAGACTACTGTATTTGGGGAGGGAGTTGGTGTTTACCCCCCAACACAGTCAGACACATCTGTTTTACTGTGGCTGACAATTATTGCATAGTTTTGTGCAACACCCAGCCATAGGTAGGTATTTAGTGTGTCATGGAATTACTCTTGGTTCTCATAGGGCAGAATCAATTAGTGGCTAATTTCAGAATGTCCCAGGGGAATTTTCCATCTTCTGAACTATGCATGGGCCACATTCAGCCCAAAAATAAGCCCCTAAAAATCAAAAGTGAAAGTGATAAGAAACAAGAGTGATGTTTGCTTTTGACTTTGTCTGCGGGTTGTGGTGTGGGGCTTTAACATATTTGAGATTAAAAGTCCTGTTTGGTGACAAATGTAAGTAAGTTCATTTTATTGATTAGGCCATTGGCCATATCAAAATATTTGACAAACACACTTGACACATACTCATATAGCATACTCACTGTCCTGAGTTCCTTCAAGGAGATAGGACAGTATATAAATAATGATGATGGTGATGATGATGATGGTGATGATGATGATGATGATGATTATTATTATTATACAACTCACATTACAACCAAAGTTATAATCAACATGCTGTTAACAAAGAGTCAGGATCCATATCAAATATCTGCATCGCCCCTACAATTTACCCCTATCAACTCCAAATATGCAGGGGTTCCAAATGTAAGAAATCCACTTTTGGATCCTCACAAAAAATTGAGGCAGATCTTGAGGACTGCATGCAGCTCATGGATGATACTTTGCCCACCTCTGCCCTGGGATGATAAATACCTCAGAAGACTATTTGACCTCAACCGTGAAGACACAAAACCCTATGTTACAGCACTATGGCTGTAACAACTTGTGGCACAATCTTTCAAATGGGTGACTGCAGGGTCAGAAATTAAGTCTCAAGTTCATTGCTAGTGATATTCCTTATAGAATGATTTCTCTCGAACATCTTCAACAGTAGAATATAACACTTCATCATCTGGAAGTGTCCAGCAAACCAATAGTACTCATTCCTATAGGCTACTGTTCTACAGACATTCAGCTCAGTTTTCCCAAAGAGGTCTGTCTGCCCTATCACAAGCTAAACAGGAAACATGTTGTTAGTCAGATGGAGGGAAACTGGCATATCTGCAGGCACATTTCTCACCTCATTTTCCAACCAGGGAGGTTCATGGGTCATTGTGTTTGCCCCATTCTGTAATGCCTTCCCGCAACCAACAACTTCATTGGTGCAAGAAATCTGTACCTAATCCATAGGTTATTTCCATGGCATTTCACTCTTTTGAAGCATAATGCTGGTTCATATAGGTCTTATCTAGATCATACTCCAGCCTTTATTTTAGAAAGCAATGAGAAGAAAAAAGTTCATTGGGTCACCACAGTGCAGGACTGTAGGAACTTCATTCTTCTCTGGGGTTTTTTAGCCTCATGAGTGAAACCTATCATAAAGCAAAAAACAATTATTATCTCCCTAAAGAAATCAGGTCGGCCCCCTCTCTTCTATCCTTTAGGAAGAAACTTAAATCTTGGTTATGGGACAAGGCATTTGATCAGCAGATTGGACATGACTTATGTGACTGACATGGACAGACCTTGGATTATGACTCTGGATTTGGATTTGTCTTATTTTAAACTGATGTTTTAATCCTGCTGTTTTAACTAATGTTTAGATGTGATTTTATTACTACTGTTATTAGCATCTAATGGGCATTGGTTGTGAATCTCTCTGAGTCCCCCCTTGGGGATGAGAAGGACGGGATATACAGTAAATGTCTGAAATAAACACTAATAAATAAATTCTCTACCCCAGTGCCAACCACAGTAGCCAAACTATTTCTCATATCATGGAAGGCTTAAAATATTAAGTATTTTTCTTCTGTATACCTTTTCTTTCAGCTATGAAGATGGCCAAGTAGGTGATACAAGTATAAACACTCAAGAGCCAAGCATTCATAAAGAGATCCTTCGGGTCATTGGTAATCAAACTGCTACTGGTTAAAAGGACCACTCTTTACTCCTTGATGTGATTTGGGATCCTTCCTCAGTCTCAAAGCTGGATTTTGAACTGAAGAAGATTTGGAGGAAAAAACAAAACAAAAGGAAACTAATTTATTGTTATTCTGAACAAGTTAACCCTTTGAATACTTTTTTTCTAACTTAGCATTTCTTATCACAGAGGACAAAAAACACCTAAAAGGGACGTGAACAACCAACTGTAGAGATGAAGAGTATATTGATACCATGCAGCTGACAGTAAAACAGAAAATTTCGCTTGTTCACAATAAACAGAATTTGAAAAGGAGTTTTGTGCTGATATTTTTATATTAAAGACTTGAACTGGACCATTTTAGTACTGTATACCTGTATTTTAAATTTATGATGGCTGAAACGGAAACAGTCTTCTTCATTTTTTTAAAAAAAAGTGGAAACATATAACAGGATATTTTGCAATAAGTAGAATATTCACATTTTATCATGTTATTGAAACTCATTATCCCAAATGTAATAAGTAAGATGGAAAAGTTAGCTGTAATATATTTATTATGCTATATACAAACCATGTACAGGATTCAAAATGCTACGGGAAGAAAACTTTTCTGTTGTACCAACATACTTGCCAACATAAATACAATTATTTTACCAATGATGGCCCATAAGAGCATGAATTTGGTCTTGCACAACTTTCATTCCTTTAGGTATCATTTTTGGGGGAAATTCAACCAACGTATTCTCTCATCCCCGGCCCCGTCTCCCTCCGCCCTTCTGTTAAAGACAAGTCTTCTGAGTAAGCAGGAACTGGGTTTATTTTTAAAGAATACTAACTTGGTATTTGCTTGGTGCATAATAAGGGGCTGCTGAAGACCTGAATTATCAATGTTGTCTTTATGAAATTATGACATGACCATAGGTGAAGCACTGCATCTTCATTTCTTTGAAAGTACAGCTGTCTTCTTTGGTTTCTTCTGGAGATATATGGCAAGATTCACGAGGCTGAAGAGGTACATGTCTTTTCAGAAGATCCTAAATGTGGTCCAATTGCTATTTTTCTGAAAATGATACTGTTTTCTCCTCTTTCTCCTTTTTCTTTGTATAATGTAAGTATACTTTGAATCTACAATTTTATGTTAATCTTTGCATCTATCAAATCTCTATAGAGTTTGTCCACATGCAACATATCCTTTCTATACATGGCAGAGTGTGCCTGAAGCTTTTATTCATGTATATTCTTAAAGTATGCAAAGGTTTTTAATGTAACTGGAGACTTTATAAGGAGGATGCATTCATTGTAGGTTTTGTCATCCATTGCCAGACAGGTAGTATGAATGAAGTTTGCTCCCGTAGGTCCTAAATCACAATCCATGTGCAAAATGGACACAAAGCTTGTACCTCAACTTTCAACATACTTTATCTGCACTTTTTGGTAAAATGAAAACTGGTGCATACCTTATGCCCTATTAGAAAATGAGATTGTTGGATCTAGTAACACAAAATCATTACATACCAAGGGACCGATCCTAGAATATGTTAAGCATCTACTGTCAGTTCAGTTCAGGATTGTTATTATATTCTTGATTCCTAATAGCAATTAAACCATCAGGGAAATCACCTCTGCATCATTTCATCCTGGTAAAAAACAAATAGTTTTAAAGTCCAAGTTACCAGAACCAGAATTCAGCAAATATGGTCAATAGCAATATCAATGTATTAATACCTAATCAGTGAGTCAATGTATCCCTAATGAAGTCCATTTCATCTAATTAACAATATGATAATTAGCTTGGAAGCTTATGATAACACATTCCCTCATGAGAGACCGTTCAAATTATTTCCCCCCTTCTAGGCTTAATTTAACTTGCTTAAAGGTTATGTGATTGCCTAGATGCTAGACTAAATCCCATTCACTAGAACAAATGGAACCATGTAGTGCTCAGTTGACTGGGGCATCTTTGGGAATAGATATTTACATAACGTACATCAGTTTTTGCTCTGGAAGCACATTTAGTACAAATTACTAATCATCATCATAATTAAACATTGTCTCGATGAATGGCAGGCACATTGAATCTTCTGATACCCCATAAAGATTACTCATTACCAGTGTAGTCTGCCATAGGGGTGGGTGGAGGGTGGCCCTGATATAGCTCTTAACCTGTCCAGACCTTGGATCACCATTTTTCTGAGATTGAAAGAGAGAGTAAACTACCTTCATTCACATTTTAAACTGGGAAAGACAAAGTATTGAACATTCACAGCACATGTCCCCAAGGCTTCTCCTAGTTAAAAAAAATTATTTCCCCCACTAACTTCTAGGTTTGGAAGGCGTGTTCAGCATATTTTTCATCTGAACTATTTTTGCTCCAGGAAAGACATTTTTAACAACAGAAAGCAATGTGAAAGCCACTTCCTGTTTTGTTTTTTAATAATAAACTCTCTAGGCAAAATAAAATGGTGAAAATATCTCCCAGGACTCCTAGAGGGGATTTAGGGGCCAAACATGACATTTTTTGCTGCAGCAGCAGCAGCAGAGGAGGTACATTCCTCCATAGTCATCAAGCAGCCACTGTGGCACATGAACCCTTCAACAGTTGTCCATACCTGTTTTTAATAGATCAAGGGGATCCATGTATTGTTTAACATAAGGAGAAAAATTATTTTTCAAAAAGTAGGCCACTTCCAATTGTTTTGTACTTTTTAAAAGCATTGTGGCAGTATATGCCCCCCCCCCCCAACACTCTCTGTACCATGAATTATCAAGGCAAGCATTCCTCCTGTAACAGATTATGGACCAAACCCTATCACCAACTGGTTCGTTCATCTTCAGTGTGATGGACACTTGAATAAGTATCTGTCTGGAAGTGAGCTCAGATATATCCTTCCACAGGGATATCCCTTATTGTAGAAAAGGAACCACCAAATGCACTACAACCTCCTTTCGCTCTAGTCAGCACAGCCTCAGTTGAGGGATGATAGAAATTGCAGTCCACCAGCATTTTAGGGCATATATTCTCTGTCCCTATTATAAAGACTAGGCAGAAGTAGGGCTACCAGAGACTATGAAGTGATAGCATCATCAACCATCCCACAACCCCAATCCTGCTTCATATGTTCATATACATCAATTACTTTCTTCCTGTTTATTGTACTCTTAAATGAATCTAGGAGTGGATTACCTTGAAAAGCTTTGTTCTTGATATGGTAGGTTGTATCAGTTTCATTTTTGGCACTGTGTGTATGAAATCCCAATCACACATACAAGTTATCAACTAGATCCTAAGTAGGCATTCAGAAACTATGCACTGTCTTAAACTTTGCTTTCACCTCATGAATTTCTACCATCCTCTACAGTTGGAGCACAACTTTCTGAAGGCCTCTTGGGTCTGTGAATGCTGTCTACACAGTCTCCATCACTGTTCAGCATCAGTGAATTCCCTGTTCACTGTCACATGCAGAGCCTTGAGAGATACTACACCTTTTTCCTTTCAAAAAGTTATATTTCACATGAATCACTATGGGGCATCCCCATTCTTTCATTGAACAGTTTCTACATGTCTGAAGAGAACTTCTGTGTTGAAGTCGTCAGTACTATTCATGTGTAAACTAGTCCAAAGCTTTATTTGCAATAAATGGTTGATGTTGCCAGAGGGGAAGAAGTTTACAAGCATTTCAACCAATATGTTTGCAATTCACACAGTGCTAGCCTTTCCATATGGAAATGTCCTTTGCATTGATGGCTACTGACAAAAGGATTACCTTGAGAATGTGTCACTGATTTATTCCTGTGTGAGAACATCATTAATCATATGAGTAATTGCAAACATCTTGGGGTTGTCTAAATCTCCTCATAAATTAACTGGATGCTTGGCTGAAAGCTATTTAAAATTTGGAGTAAAGGTTCCATAGTAGAATGGATAATATCAACCCACCATTTTCAATATTGTTCAAAGTATTTTGCACACTAATATGGTTACCTATCCCGGCAGGGCTCCAGCAACCTTTGGGCATTGTGAGTGGTCTGTATGTTGCTATAAATGACAGAAGCTCTATAAATTTTGACTCCAAGAAACCATCTGAAAACCACTCAATTTTTCTGATACATGTGTCTCCCAACTGGATATCCTTGATGAATAACTTATCTTTCATCTTCATTCCTCTAATTTACTGTACTAGAATCCTTGATACAATTAGTCTGGAAATGCCCCAGGGAAACCTTTATGGCATTTCTGTACAAAGAACTACCCCCACCCCCCAACATACAGACACCCAAAAGCAAACATCACAAAGAAAGATAATGCCATAATTCACTAAGGTAGTGAATAGCCTAGAGTTATATTAGTTCACGTTCACAATCCTTCCATATTCCCCAGTTTAGGGGATATGTAGGGACCTTGAAAGTCCCTGAATCCCCATTTATCAAGCATCAGGCACTGTGATCAATGGATCTGCTCTTGTGTCTATTAGAAAGTGGCCAACTGATGTTTCCACTCCACATGCACAAGCAATTTCCAACATGAGAAGGAATTGCAGCAGGGACCCTTGTTCTGGTTATCACAACAGCGATCACTCACAGGAAGGACTGAGAAAATTAGTCAACTGTTTCCCAATTGAAAGTAAAACAGACCCCAGTTGATTGCAGTGTCTGCTGCCCAGTAAGTGGGTGTTGGGAGGATGCGGGCCAGGAAACTCACTGTAGCTACATAGCTACAGTAGTTGCATAACTACATAATTGATATAGAATTACAGCATAAAACTTGGAGACATTGTAACATGCCCATTTACCCATATCAATTTAATAGATATATTGGTATCATTGCTTTCCAAGATAATGGTCTGAGTTAATACTGCCATATTTCTTGTATTCGGTGCCCTTCATCCCAAACCAGTTGCTCTTTACTGCCTTGTAAGTGTAATTGTTTCGGTAGAAATCTACAAACCTAAGAGGTGATACCTTCAAGTAATCTGGCAAATTACAATCTCCTCCCTCTTACTCAGCAACCAGACTCATAAAATAAGTATAGATATTGTTTTGCTTTGGTTTTGCTCTTGTGACTGCCACAAGGAGTCAGGTATAGATCTCAACTGAGCTGTCTGGTCTTGAACAGTTAGTCTGAATATCCCATAGAAGTCATTCAGAAGTCCTTTGCTATGGCTATCTGCAGAATCATGAGTGGGTTGATTGGATTTTTGGGGAGAAGGAGAATATAATTAAAAATCATTGTGTTTGCAGGTTCAGCCATTTTTCCTGAACTACCTCACCCCATCCCATGTTCATTAACTTCCTGCACTATGAAGGTCCACAGCCTA